CCCCTCCCCCTGCCACTTGAATGCTGGTGATCTAACTTTATGTCTAATTTCCCCAACTTCCATGCCTTTGCCTACCATACCCCACCAGAAAACCAGGCATTTCCTAAAAGAAGTCACACAGGCATCCCAAAGTTAACTTGCCCCCAAATAAGCTTCGTCTAGCTTACTGCTCACTCCATAGGCCAAACCAGAAATCTGGAGATCACTCCATTCCTCCCTTTCCTTCGCTGCCCACTCACTTCTAAGACCAAGTCTGATCAAACTTACCTGGGTAATGGCTCTCCTTTCCTGTGTCCTGGCTCAGGACCTCATTATCATGCAGTATTCTACTGATCCCGTAGGTGCCCCCTCCTCTATCCATTTACCTACTTCAAGAATCTTTTAAGAAATGCAGATCTGATTTTTTTTTTCACCCGTTTAAACTCTTTGCCACCATATTAAGATTTAAATTGTAGCCAACTTGTGACCTTGATGAGTCATTTTCCCCAAATTTTCATTTTTATGTAAAATTGAAGTTTAACAGCAGCAGCTATCAAGTTCAGGAACTGTCTCCTGTGCAGACAGGAGAGGCCAAGTAAATAGGGGTACAGGATCCCTACCCATTCCAGATTTCACAAGTGCAACTGCACTTCCACTTGTTTTATTTAAGGTTCTACCCTTGCCTGCCACTTTTTTTTTTTAAGGGTCTTCGCCGGGGCAAAAATATTAAAAAAAAAAAAAAAAAAAAAAAAAGAAACGTGGCCAGTGGTGATTAAGATGGCTGGATCCCACATGACCAACTACACAGTTTAAGACCTGGACCAGGTGATTTGGAAAACACACTGTGTGTAAGTGCTTGCATGCCCAAAATCCTAGAAGGAGAATGGAGAGAGGGTACTGCACATGGCCATCCCCACCAGGGTGTTTTCTCACTTTCCCTCTCTGTCTGTCCTTGTTTCACAGAGCTCACTTGCTCCTATTTTAATGTTGGGTTTTTTTTGTTTTTTTTTTTTTTTTAAGAGAGAAATTTTTACTATAGGGCCTGTGTGCTCACTGGAGAGACAGGGAGAGACAGAAAGAGAGAAATCACCCCCTAGGGGGCATGGCCATGCCACAATCCCTTCTCTTCTATTATCCTTTTGGGATTCTGGGCATGCACACACACGTCCCTGGCATGAGTTTAAGCTGCCAGGCCCAAGACTCAAATACCAGTCAAATATGTGGGAGTCCAGTAATGTAACCATTACGCCATCTGCTAGCCTCACCCCATACCAAACTTAAAACAAAAAATAAAACAGTTGACTAGATTATTCTAAGACATCTCCCAGGTCTCAAATGTTGCAATTTTTTTTCCATGATCTTTTTCAAGATATTACACCACACACTGGATAAAAAAATCACTCAAAGACGACTAAATTATTCCACACTGAAGAGGTGTCTACAATATTAAAGAACTCGCCGTGTCCTATAATCACTATTTTCCCCTGCCATCTCCCCTACAAAAAGTTCCATCCATATTTGAAGTGTAAAAACGCTGTAAACCAGACCTCTTTTTTTTTTTAAAGAGAGATTTTTGTTATAGGGCAAGTACACGAGACAGAGAGAGACAGAAAGCAAGAAATCACCCATGGGGGGATGGCCACACTACAATTCCTTCTCCTCCAGTCTCCTCTTGGGATTTTGGGCATGTACACACATGCACCAGGCCTGAGTTTTAAGTTGCTGGGTCCAGGACTCGAACTGCAGTCGACTACGTGGGAGCCCAGAGACATAATCTTTACACCATCTGCTGGTCCCAACCAGACTTCTCTTCTACTCTCTGCTGCACCCCATACTGTTATTTCCCCTACATACTCCCCAGACAAGAGCAATGTTTTATATGCAAAAATGCTTTTATATTATGTTCTATAGGTTATTCATAAAGGAACAGAAATGAGGAAGAAACAAAGTACAGGTCCTCTCAAAAACTGTTATGAGCCAAGTGGTGGCATAGTGGTAATGCAACTGGACCACATGGGAAAGTTCCTAGGTTCCCTGAGTGCAACTGGCCTGGTGAATGTGACTGTGATCTGGGCCAACTGAGACTGAGGGTGGATCCCATTGGGGGTGCCTGCCTAACCCCCTCAACTCCCCGCATGTTAGAAATAAATAAACCTAAAAAAAATGTGTAAAAGAACTTACATTTCTTTTAATCTGCTTAAAACCATCTTGAAAATTTTATTTAAAGGTATTCAAAGAGTTTCAGATATAAGATATGTAGCGTTTTTTTTGTACTAAAAGTCAATCTGAGTCATTTTGCAACATTAAAAAAAATATTCATAGCGAAATTACCTATCATATCTAATCATATCTCCACCACAGCAACAAGTGTACTTCAATTTAATAAACACTACTAACAGATTCCGCAAATACAGAGTCTTTAAATATTCATGTTTGAAATGATCTATATATCCAAGGTGCTTATGAGTGTAGTTCTAAAAGTCAGATAAAAGGCATATCAAATATCAGTCCATTACTTATAGATTTGAGGAGAAAAGGGGTTAGACTTTATGTTTGTCTAATTCAGAGAGTTATTCAATTCAATACTGATCTCATTTTTCCTTGCAATGAAACAAATTCATTGAATTTTTCTAAAAAGATTAAGCATGAATAATTACTTATGCCTTTAATTATATTAGTCTTAAAATGATTTCTCTGCTTTTATCATTTTAGCCAAGTAATCAATCTAAACGGCAGTTAATTTAAAAATACAAAGTTCTACCTTAAACTAATCTCACCTAAATCTTTATTATTTATACATGTCATCCTCAAAAGTCTGCAATTTTCACATTACAAATTACCTAACATTTGATTCTATTTCACCTTCCTGATAAATAAAAATTATACCTTTTGTAAACAATCTTCAGATCACGCCATTCAAGGAAGCTGCACATTTTAGGTTTCCGTGCTAAAACGGTTTGAACAAGTTCTCTTGTGATCTTTTTCTTTTCTTTGTCTGATAGAGGGACATACCATTTCTGCAGTCGAAGCTTTCCCTGACGACTAAAAAGCAACATAAACTGCATCTGTTAAGGAAAATAAAACCAAGATTACATGCAATACTGTGAATCAATAAAGTTAAAAATAGGGTTACATGTTTCACAGAGCAGTTTTGGGGGACAGCATGTAACTGACAAATGATTAGCAGTCATCAATATGTCTATGCCAAGTAAAACAGCAGGAAAATAAATGCGACCCTATGCAACCCAATCCACATTAAGTTTGGAGCGAAGCCTGTAGAAAAAAAGAGAAAAACTTGTAGTAAGTTGGAGTGAAATTTTGAAAGAAAGATAACTCTTGCAATTTAACAATGTTCTACTTGTTCTGTAAAGTCCCCACTCCCTATATGCATCAAAACCGAACTGCAGACATCAATTGGTTTAGGTGCGTTTGAAACAGGAGACCTACTATTTTTCACCCTGAGGCCATTCTAGTTCTCAGCTGAATTACTTGTATACCCACTTATCACTTACAATGCTCTCTCCTGTTTATTCTATTTTAAGCAAAATGATCTAAAATACTAACCAAAAAACAAACACACAAATACATGTTTTTCTTTACAAAAGCCTGATTTTTAAGCATCTGTCCTCATCTCACTTTTTAAAAATTCCAACATAAATATGCACACAGTTAAAATCTGAGTTAATATAGCATGATCAAAGAGAATACAAACCTTAAAAAGGCCAAAATAAGAGTTGCACATATTCAGACATTATATGAAATACATAATTTAAAACAATAAAAAATAGCATCTACAAATGGAGAAGATACTGAATTCCAGTGTATTTTATACTTAAACTAATTTGTATTTAATTGGTATTTGCAAATCTGTTGATTAGTATGCACGTTTAATTTTTAAGGCAAGCTTCTAGTAATTGAACTTGACATTTCAACTGCAAACAGACAGGTATTGTTTCTATAAAGGTAATTTAAAGGTAGAATTCAGATAGGTGTTTTTTCTTTTAGCCATTTTAAGTTCCTTTAACACTGCAAGTAGGATTCCAGCCTGATTTCTAATGTTCACCGCACCATTTTGTATTTGAACAGGGGAGGGGGAATTTACACAATCAACGGAGAATAAATGGGCCTTAAATTTAAGTTAGAAATTATGCCGCTTTTTGTAATAATGCAGAAAGGCACAAAGATAGCTGGAAATTTATGACATGGCAACTTAACTTCATAAAGTTAAAGCTGGCTTATTACCCCACTTAAAATGCTTCAGTGACACAAAATATGCAGACATTACTGGATGATATCAAAGTGCCTCCTATCTAAGTCCCGAGGATAGCGGAATTCGAAGGAGACAGCAAGTGAAATATCAACTGGGCATCATTCAATGCAAACCCGTTACCAGAACTTGGAAAAGAATGGGCTCCCGCATTCCTAAATCTTGGTGACCAGGAAGAGTCGGGGGGGGGGGTGCTTAAGAAAAGAGTACGGGCTCAAGGCTGTCTGTAGCAGCGTCCTACATCCGCCCCACCACTTTCTAGGACCAAAAAACCAATGTATTCGCCCTAAAATAAATTATGTGCCAACATGGGACGAAATCTGGTTACAAAGCCTAAGTGCCGCTTCCCTCCTGTTAAAAACCAAAGCACTGGTTTTGCCGCAAATCACAGGGCACCACAATTCCTAGAGATTGTTATTAAAAACAATGGGCTCAGCCGCGGAGCGGGCTTGGGGCCAGCGTTCCTCGGGTCCGGCAGTCCCGAAACCTCCAGGGGCCACACTC